GCCAATCAGCGCTGAGCAGCGTACGTCTGGTTACTCAAAGGCAGAGAGGTACATGAGGGCGGGACTAGGCAGCTCAAAAATAACCAATCAGAACAGGGTTTCCCTTGGCGCTTCGCTTGGCCACCTGCCAGGCTAAGCGTCATGCCCCGCCCCCTCCCCAACCATACCGCGTCTGCCGGCAGGAATGACGCAACGAAACCAGAGCCCTCCATCAGCTGGTACTGGTGAGCAACGCGTGCAAACCCCCCCCAAAAAACTTTTTTTCCACAATTCTGGTATTGATCATAAGCCTGGCAATAAAGGGGTTAAACCTCAAAAGCACAAACATTTGTTTTATTTTGTTAGGACTGAAGCCAAGGATGAAGTTCATGTAAAAAAGGGGCATATGAAATATTAAAAAATGTTTCTATGGAAAGTTTTGTATGAGCATTTTTGTGCTCAAACACCAAAGGCAATATAAGGGTTTAGGAGGCGGGGCCATGTTCAAACAAGTGCTTAGTGGAGTCACGAGTTGTTAGAAAGCCGACATCATTTCCACGTCGCTGCCCAAACTAGAATCCAAGCTGGACCATCATCACTTGTGACTGGTTCTGGATCCACAACCGTCACCTATGCCTGTGGTTCTGGAACCAGGAGCTCACTGGGTCCATCCAAGGCTGAGTTCCATTTGTTATACGCAAACAGTGATCCAATCTTCTCATTTCATCTTTTTATTCATAATTAGGTCACCAAAACCTTCCAAAGTTGTTTCACATTCATTTCCAGGGTTTCCCCCAGAAAATGAGTTAAGCCTGGCGGATTCGGCCGCCGAGGGGGGGGAGCTCCATCCCACAGCGCTCCTCCGCGAGAGCGGGGGTGGGGGGTTGCACACGTTACGCTGCTGTTTCTTATCAGTACCAGCTGATGGAGGGCTCTAGTTTCGTTGCGCCGTTCGTATCAGCGGACACGGTATGGTCGGGGAGGGGGGCATGATGCTTAGCCTGGCGGGTCGCCAGGCTTATAAAGCACTGGGGGAAACCCCGATCTCATTTCTGACTAGTGGAAATTAAACCGAGGAGGGTTCCTGACTCCAGAGACGACCGACTCCTTTCAGTTGAAACTGGTCTTGAAAATAAGTTCAAACCTCAAGGAGTGAGATCCTGCAAGGAAACAAGCAGCCGGTAACCTCTCAGATATTTTGGAAAGTCACGCCGTTCCCGTTCGGTTGCAGTCCAGTGGGAAACCAGATGATGTCCGATTAGTCAGATAAATGTGGGTGTAGATACCATCAGCTGTTCTCCACACAACAAACACCGCTAGAGGTTTCATAGAATTATCTCTTCCAGGCATTCTGACCGTTTCCATCTCGACTGGTCCAACGCTTAAATCCCAACATAACTTTAGATCAAGGATGTCTCTTTTTTAAAATCCAGACAGAAAACTTGGCTCCGTTTCGAGCCTCACCGCAGACCTTTGGCCTCTCGTCTAACACTTTCCTCTACCTGAGACAACACGTGGTTTCCATTTTGCTCAGGCATACACTAAAAATTCCAATGCTGATTTATAAACAGTAAGTAAACGTCAAAGAGCAAAGATAAGTTGGAACATTTAAGAGCCAGAGAACAAATTCCTCGTCTGTTATGCAAGCAGATATCTCGTTAAAAGACCAAACGCACACTTTACAGATATTTAACAAAGTAGATACCGGGCCAACTGTTTACTTTCCCCTGAAATATCTGGAACAGCATTGATGCAGCGACAGCGAGCCTCTGAAAGAAGGTAAAAACGTTGGAGGGTGAGATCAACACGCTTGCTTGTCAGCAGGGTTAGGGTAGGCTTTCTTAAGGAATGTCGCTCTGCAACAGCTTCACGCCATCAGCTCTGAAAGATCCAGTCACAAAAAGCTGCCACTGCCTCTTATTCCCTCTGTGGTCTGATCACTCCCAACGCCTCGGGTTGGATGTTTTTTACTTTTAAGTTCGTGTTCCATTTTAATCATTAATTATTGCGTTCAGAGTCAGAAGAATGGCCAACCAGACACGCCTGGCACGCATCAGGATTCAGACCAACAAGGAAATGAAGGCATTAACAAAATGGTAGAACGATCCTGCAGAGGGTTTCAAAGGTCATAGTGCAAAAGTGAGTTTTAGCGCCAATGGTGAAAGTGCTCAGATAACTCTACACTGTAAACGCTTGCAGGCGTGTTCGATGACAGCATCCAAAATCTGACGCAGCTCGGCTTTATTTAGTCCAAGTTGCTTTTTATCCTATTGTATTAAATCTTTAAACAAAAATGTAAGAGTAACACAAGAGGCAGCTCTGTGTACTCTGGCATTGGTCACGGTCCGCCCTTCGAGATCAGAAACTCAGCACGTCTATTCTTTACATACTCTGAGCCGGAGAGCAGCCCTTTCCTGGTATTGTTCCACTGTAATCAGGTGCTGTTGTGTGGAGGACGAGGGAGGAAAGGCTTGGGTGGTGACAAACCAACGCTAGCGGAGGAAGCACGGTGGGTGGGAACAAAGGTCACCAAGAAAACCAATGAGACACGTTCACGACATGGATGGACAAATCCATCTCATCCCGTGTGTGTGTGTGTGTGTGGGGGGGGGGGGGGGTCCTTTTGTGATCATTAGTCTGAGTTGAAACAACAGAAAGTCAGAGGGAGCGACTGGGAAGCAGCAGACAGCCGTATGACGAGATGACACCACTGCCCCACGGAACATCCAGACAAGTTCAGACTGCAACCCGACAGGAACAGCTTCCTGTTCGTATTATAAAGACGTCTGCAGTGAATGGTGTCTGGGCCACGGTGGGGGGGCTCGTGTGTGTGTGTGTGTGGACGCTGCTGACACATGAAAGATGGAATGCAACCATCTCAGCAGGAGGCTCCATAACGGCACTAAAACTGGCCTCCAGAGAAGTGATTTCACCATCTAATGTCACGAGTTAATTCAACAAAAAGACTCGAAGGTAATAACAGGATATGTTGTGATGCAAGAGCGACTTTCGTGAAAAACAGCCTCTATCACACGAAGTCTAGAAAGGGCTAAAGGAGGACACACTGGGAGCTTTTAATGACGTTGCTTCGGCGTGTCTATGTCAGAGCGTGGCGTCAGTAACGTCGGCAAGCGCTCGCTGTGGTTTTATGGCTTCTCAGCAGAAATCAGCTGACCTGAAACAAACGTGTGGCTCCGATTAAAACCGAGACTCCCTCCCTCTGAGATCGCCAACATTAGCAGGTTAAAGTGGAGGTTTGCCAGAGTTAAAGGTGCTTACTGACTTTCACCACCTTCAAAGCCACGAGGGAGTGCATGCGTGCCAGTCTGTTTGCTTCCGAGTGCGAGCACAATGACTTGCCAACTAAACCGAGCAAACACTTATCCAAGTGACACAACCCAACCCGTGTTGATGCAACATGACACGGCCTCATGGGGCCTGATGAGAATGTGACCATTTATAGATCTGACATGTTTGTTGATGGATTTTTAATTCACACTGGCTGGAAAAACAAATCCAAGCATTTGCTGAACCAATAAAGGCTCCAGATGTGTGAGCCAAGACATTTTCTTGGGCAAACTTGTGGTTTGTGCCGTTGGGTAACAGATACTAAATGTACTTGATTTGATGCTCGGCCCGTCAGCTCTACGCCTCCTTATTGGCAAATGTGCTGCAATTAGATTACCAGCCCAGCATTTTTATGCTAATCCATAAAATCTGATGTGACCATTACTCATGTTTCACAGCGATCTGCCCAACAGGCCGTCTTTGTTTTGGGAACATTTTTCCATTGATGGATTTATTATCAACTTTAAATTGTTTAGCAATAAACAAAACTGGATGGTTTATCCCCATTTGCAAGTTTTCTGTTACAATACTCATCTAATGTGGCATCTCTTGGTTTCAATAGCTAAGGTTTCAAAAGTTTGCACTCAGTCAAAAATGTGTTTAAATAAGCAGGAATTTCAGGAAAACTCGTGGTCTAAACAGCCAGAGATTAAACGTTAGCTGCAGCGTTAGTTCCGACAAAAACATGAATGCTGATGGCAGCTGAAGACACACCAAGGTAAAAGACGTGATTTCTGCATAACCACGGGCGGGGGTTCACCGAAAGGCCGCCGGTCCCGCCGAGTGAACAAACACGCGGACGCCACGCTTCAGGTGTAGATGGTTCAGGTGCGGAGATGGAGGTGAGCAGCAGGAAATCGTGGCTGTTTTTTTATTATGAGTCCATCTGTGACGTTGTGCTTCATGTCAGACGTGTTACCGACCACACACACCAACCGCTGCACATCAAAAAAGTTCAGCAAGACTCGAGCCGGTGTTACGTAGAGATGTGTTCACTGCGGAAAACTGCCCCCATCTAGCTAGGGTCGGCTTCTGCTAAAACTAGTTTCTGACAGATCCCAGGAACTTCGTGAAGGAATCGCTTCCCATGCCTTTGGAAAATGTGACCTCATTTTCCTGTTGAACATCAGGCAACACCACATCCGGTTTACCGGGCATTAAAGTGACACAAAAAGCACAATCAATGTTTTCTTTTTCTTTGTTGAGCAACTTTAAAATACATTTGTTTAAAATAAATGGCGGACAGGGGCTGGGAGGGGACCCGCTTTGATCACGGAACACATTTCGACGTAACACCGGTGTTCACGTCCACTTGAGCTCAGAGCCGTGTTCGGCGGCCTTTGCAGCCGCTCACCCGAGCGGACCACTTCCTGTGTCTACCGTTACTTCAGCGTTAGCTCCTCACCGGCGGCTACGCCCACACCGAGTCTGTGTTTGACCGGTGTTTCACGTGTGTCCGGTTACCGGACCGTGTCCGGTGTGGTTAAGTCGGGTAAAAAGCCGAGTTAAATCTGTGACGGAGGTCCAACTCCACCCAGCGCGGCTGAAGTTGCGGCAGCGACTCAGGCGAGCTTCCTGGTTCGCTGCACTTGCTGCTCGGCTCGCGGCGGCGGGCTGAATGAGTTCTAGAAGTCTCCAAAGCTAACGCAGAGCAGCTAAAAGAAGTGAAATACCTGCTGTTGGTAGCTGGTCGCCTTTCGCAGAGTGGCTATCACCAACCGGATCAAACTTCTTCTGTCGACAGCAGCTTCCCGGAGAGTTCAGACTAAACTACGCCGCTCTCTCGCTTCCTCCCTCTGTCGGGTTTTTTTTTTTCCTCTTCCTTCTGCCCTCCCTCCCTCTCTCCCACTGGCTGCTGACTGGTTCGCTGCACTCGCAACCCGCCGCTCCGCAACCGAAGCCGGGGTGCGGTCCTGCGCTAAGGCCTGCTTTTAGCTGCCACTATGGACCAATCACCGACGAGCTTTTTATAAAACACACACTTTAGACCAATCACGTTCCGATGGAGGCGGACACAAGCGGATGAGTGACAGCTGATGAGCAGGGCAAACAGAAGAGCGAGAAACGCTGAACTTGAAAGAGTTGAGAGGAGGGGAGAGGGTGTACCGAAAAACCGTGTTTAATGAGCCTGGTATGCGCGTGCTAGGGGGTTTTATGGCCATACAAGTACCAGCCAGGCCCAGTTATCCAGGGTCTCCCTTCACGCGGTGTCTGCAGTCTGGCCAGAGGAACAGTAGCTGTGATGTTTCCAGCTGTTTTATATCAACGCTGCCAGGATTCAGACTAACCACGTACACGCTGACAGCTCTGAACTGTTCATGTCACGGCCGTGTTTGTTGATTCAGAGGGTCAAATAACTGAAAACGCGCAAATAATTAAAATATTTCCTGTTGTGGATGCACTTTTAACATCTTCAGTTTAAATGATATGAATGCAACCACAGATGAACAACTCCTTGGAGCTTATTTTCAATTTAAAGAGCAAGTCACCCCCAAATCAACTTTTATTTGCTGATAAACTATATAAATGTGTGTCTAATCGTGCTGCAGGCACGTGTAGTCACTAGTTTTGCACTTTAGTGCATTTTAGTTACAATTTTAATTTTCTGCCTAAAACTGTCAGTGTTGTGCCGTTGTCAGGTAAAAACTCTGCTCTGCATTTGAATTTATATCTGCCATCGCTATTGGCTAAGAGGTGCCCTAGAACGTTAGCTGGTACCATATGATGTCACAATGTCGTTGTGAGCCTGTGTGTGTGTGTGTGTGTATTTGTTAGCTGCTCGCTAATGTCGCTAACCAAATCTATCACCCTAGTCACCCTAAAATTTTATGTCGGCTTTTGAACAACAAATCCTAATTTTAGTGCTATTGAACAGACTTTTCCTGGTGTTTTTGTACCACTTACCGCTAAACTCATCAAACTGAATGAATTAAAATTCATCCAGTTAAAATCCTTTACCTCAGAACCCTCCCCAGTCAAGTCAGGTGTGCCCGCCACTCCTCTTCATAGTATACCTCCTCCCTATCGGCAAAATCTTCCGCAAATTCAATATCCAGTTTCACTGCTTTGCGGATGACACCCAGCTCTACATTTCCAGTAAGCCCAACTCAACTCTCCCACCATCCTCCCTTACACTCTGCCTCTCTGAAATCAAATCATGGTTCACCTCTAATTTCCTCAAACTCAACGGCAATAAAACTGAACTTCTTCTAGTTGGCACTAACTCCACCCTCTCAACATCTGACAGCTTTTCTTTAACTATTGACAGCGCCATAGTCTCCCCCTCCCCTCACTTCAAAAGTCTGGGTGTCATTCTCGACAGCTCACTTTCTCTTCAGGCTCACATTAATAACATAATTTGGTCAGCATACTTCCATCTACGTTCCATTAACCGTCTCCGTCCCTCACTGACCCCTCACCCTGCCGCCATTCTCGTCCACAGCCTCGTCACCTCCCGTATCGACTATTGCAATTCACTTCTTTATGGTCTTCCCAACAAACTCCTTCATAAACTGCAACTGGTCCAGAATTCAGCAGCCCGTATTATCACCAGAACCCCTTCCTTTCACCACATCACCCCGGTTCTCCAGCAGCTTCACTGGCTCCCAGTTAAATTCAGGTCCATCTTCAAAATTCTCCTCCATACCTTCAAAGCAATCCACAACCTCTCTCCTCCATATATCTCAGACCTTATAAGTATTCACACCCCCTCCCGTTCTCTCAGATCTTCTTCTTCCATCCATCTTGCGGTTCCTTCTGCCCGTCTCGCTACCATGGGGAGCAGAGCTTTCAGCCGCTCTGCTCCTCAACTCTGGAACTCACTTCCCCCAGACATCAGGAACGTCGACAGTTTTACCCTTTTCAAAACAAAACTCAAAACACACACGTTTAAATCTGCCTACAACCTCTGATTTTATTGAACTGTTTCTTTGTTTTTTCTTCTTTGGGTTTTATTATTGTTTTATTGTATTTTATCACGTGTTTTCTGTAAAGTGACCTTGGGTGTCCTGAAAGGCGCTTTTAAACAAAATGTATTATTATTATTATTATTAAACGGCTGCACACCTGTGCCTTTTACAGCAGTCAAACAGGTGAGCTTGTTTTCATGATCAGGCACGTCAGCGGTGCATGGGAACCGCTGCAGGTGATGATCCTGTTGATGTAACACAGACACGAAATCACTCCTGACTTTTGTTTTCCTTTGCTCGTCTGTAAGGAATGTGTGGTGTTGCGAAAGTTTAATTATTTATTAAAAAGGGAAAAGAAAGAAAGGCGGGGGGGAGAGAGAGTTGGAACTGAAATCTAGGAAACGGGCCTCTTGGATGACGATGGTGGGAAACAAGAGGTGATGTTTTGGTGTTGGTAAAGTCCACACGGATATGATGAAACTAACGTGTTTATTCCAAAGTGGTTTTGATCAGATCGCCTGAAGGAAATAAAGGCAGAGTGCCAGCAGGCATGTCACGACCAGCAGGGACTCACCAAACAGACGTTTTTTTAGTTTGAGCAGAGAAAACCTGTAACTGCTCAGCATGAAAAGCAGAGAGACAGCATTAATCTGTCATTCCACCCAGAAGGAACGTGCTTCCCCATGAGTGATGGAACAAACAAACAAACAAACAAACAAACAAACATGTGAAAATATTACAAACAAGGAAGAAGATGGTTTTACAGCATCATGCTTATTTTCTCTCTGTTTCTTTACATATTTTAACCACAATTGTCTGTTTTTTTGCACATTTTAAAAACATTTTTAATCATTTTCTAAATTCTTTTTTATATTTTTACATTTTTTGTTTTTGTGAAGCGCCTCGCGATTTTTATCTTGAGAGAGGCGCTATAAAGATCCTTTCTTCATCTTATACTTTCATGTAGGCATGGACGTAATTTTGGGGGGACAGGGGGGACATGTCCCCCCCCACTTTCTCCAAAGTCGAGTTTTCACCCCTGCACTTTTTCCAATACTTTATATTAAATTGGCACTGGTTGAGCTCTAGGACCAAGCAGAAAACAACCATTTGTGTTGAAGCCTGTTTCCCATTAGAACATACTGTAAAGATCCCCCCCCCCCCACACACACACACACACACACGTGTCCCCCCCACTTCTAAAGTGAAAATTACGTCCATGCATGTAGGTTTTGCTGTTCCTCTGCGTTCGAGCCGGCATCTCGGAGCCTCCGTTCCTGACTTCTGCAGCCATGTCGTGTTAACAGAAACGCAGTAGCTCTTCCGCTAATTCCAACAATCGCAAAATCACATGTTTAATGTGAGTTTTCTATACATGCAAAGGTATTTAAATTAGCATTTGCCTGAACTGCTACAACCTTCACGAGAACAGAGCTGGGTGACGATGGCAGAGGTCTCCTTTCGTCCTGGACGAGCCGTTAGCCAGAACAGCTAAGATGCTAACAGATGTTTGCACCCACAGGAGCCCACGTCAAACGCCTTAAACCATCCCTGCATGAACACAACAAAACTATCATGTGTTCGCATTGAATAATGACGAGGAATATGAAAACTAATGCATGAACTCTCTTTTATCTGCATTCAGGATGAAACTTCAAAGAGAACAGCGAGAAAGCTAAAGCTTCAGAGACGATCGCCGGCTCTCTAAAGCAAACACAGATCTGCTGGGTTTGTCTGCGTCTGACAGTGAAAATGAGGTTTTGATGTAAAAACGAGGCTGAACACAAAACCTCCGCTCTGTTTAGTCTTCCCTGTCAGCTCTGCAGATAGCAGACGAACAACAAGACCTGAAACAAAAAGGACGCCACTTCTCATCAGATCTCAGCAGCGAGTCTTCTGTGATTGGTGCACACGGCGCTCGTCATCACCAGAGGAATGCGTGTTTTCCTTTAGGTTCAGCCGCCAGGAATCCATGTATGGAGAGCAAAACACAGACAATTCTGAGCGCCTGCCTGGAAAAATCAATAACCCCTCATTCCTACCCAAGTCTACAAAGAGCCAAAATGTCAGCGGAAAGGCCAAAGGTCACCTATACTGTGAGCAGGACCAGACGCTGAAAGACGAAGAGACAGAGGGGAAATAAAAGCCAGGAATTTAAAACAAACATGTGAACGTAACAAAAGTCCTTCAGGGTGACAAAGCAAACAAAAGTGATGCAGGTTCAAAAGGCAGGCTTGGATGACCAAATATGGACACTTCTGACCTCACCACGCCCCTCCCACTGACTTCCCTCGCCTCTTCCTCCCGCTGTGCTGGTTGTAACAGCAGCAGGGTGTGTCTGCTATCCAGGGTGTGTGTGTGTGTGTGTGTGTGTGTGTGTGTGTGAAGCCATTAAAACACTCAACCAGTAAGAAAGAAACCCTTTCAGTGACGGCGCGTTAAACCAGCGCACTCATCTACGCTTCTAATCACTCTTGCTGTTTATTCACGCGGGTGAATTCATGTGTGACCATGCAGGAGTGTTGGGGTGAGAGCGGGGCAGCTGGGCCCTCGTGTGTGAGTCTGGGTGATGGGATCTGCGTCAGACCTGGGAGGGAAGGGGCTGACCCAGATCTTCTGGCTGCAATCTCTTACCTGATGTTTATCATGGCCTACTGCCAAAAGGCATGGTGCTTTTTCACTGTGTGTGTGTGTGTGTGTGTGTGTGTGTGTGTGTGTGTGTGTGTGTGTGTGTGTGTGTGTGTGTGTGTGTGTGTGTGGACTGATTTTATTACAACATTTACAAAGTAATCCATGGACGAACATGTACAGCCGATTCATTTTTGGAGAAAATCCCAAAAGCCCGTGTGTGTAAAGCGCCCCAGAGTCTTACCCCCCCCCCCCCCCCCCCCCAAGGTGCTTCACAACACAATCAACCATCCACTCACTCACACACGGGTGGCGATGAGCTTCACGTACCACAGCTGCCCCGGGGCGCACTGATCACTGGCGTCGCCGGTCCCTCCGG